TACGTACATACATACATGACATGACATGACATGACATGACATGACATGACATGACATGACATGACATGACATGACATGACATGACATTACATGACCATATATACATACACAACGTGTATATAACCAGGGCACTTTATACATATAATGAGCAGCGGAAGCAGTGTGTGTGTGTGTAACAAATACAGATAAGCAATCGGTGCGACAAAAACAGTACTCAGCCACGCAACAAGAAGACCAACCATGATAATAACAACAGTGACAACGAAAGCCTGCTTTCGTGGTCAAAGCAAGAAGAATTGTTCAGCCATGCTTCACAGACCGCCTAGCTTGTACCCTTGCGGAACACTGTTCTGCAATCATTGAAGCAGCCTCACAGGCGAAAGAATGAAAACATCCCAATTTGAAGACAGCTTGCATAGTTGAATTCGGTGCCAGGGTTCTGGCCTCCAGCTTCTGAAAGTACTCCAGCAGCTCAAAAGCCACCTTGCAGGTTGGGGTCTTCCAAGCTTTGCGCAGAGTTCAATCATGCTGCCAAACCTTCTGAGGCAGGTCATGGCGACAAACCAGATACTGGTAGACATGTTTAGCTAGCATTCAAAGATCACAAGCACCACGGCAACTAAGAGACTTCTTTGGTTGGTGCTATGCCTCGATCTCTTATTCGACGACACGGCCGGCATAGACGCGTGGTTTTGCACCCTCCCAAGCTTCAAGCTGCGGGCGAAAGGAGAGATGCGTATCATCATCTTCTTCACACCCACACAGGCTATCGCTTTTCTTTGCTTTCTGATTTCGATTGCAGTTACGCCTTTCCGGGCCTCGAGGTGAGTGAAGCTTTGGACCGGGATCTGCCATGGCTCCCAAGTCTTGGCCTGGGCTGGGCCATTTAGGGTTTTGGGCTCGAAGTACGGCGGGATTCGGGTTTGGGGGAAGCCTGTCTACTTGGCATTCAGCTGCCACCCTTAACTCGACTTCAGACCGAAACCCTTGGCCTCAGCTCCAAGGACGTCCGAAGTCGTGCCTTGCTCCAGTCAAACTCGGACGATGCCAGGCGACATCGAGGGGTTTCTGGGGAAGTCTTTTCTAACCTGGGGTGTAGGACTCCCGGGAACACGCTTTACCTGCTTCTAGCCCGTGGGCAAAGTTAGGTCTATGGCGCAAGCGGAGAAAATGCCGCCGTGCATTCGCTGGGAGAGCGGTGACCACTCTACTCTACGCTTATCATTCTGCACTGACGGCATCTGAGAAGCCAGAATCCGCTGAAGGAGAGTTTCCTGCGGCTGTCGGTTGGGAAGGGGCTTGACGCTACTTAGCCGCGACTCCCGGATTTGGAACAGGCTCTGGGAGTTCTTCTAGATCAGGGTCGCTTTCAAGATCTTCGAAGGGAAGTCTTATCACAGGTCAACTAAAGCACACCCGTTGAGCCGACAGGAATCCAGTCTTCGAACAAGGCCCAGCAACTTGCCCTAGGCCCTCCTGTGCTCGAAGGCTGCAGCTCCCACACTCTTTGCGCCCCTTTGTTCAAAGTGCACAGCACATCCGAGAGATCAAGGACCGAGTTCGAAGCCAACTCCAAAACCCAGGCAACACTAACCTCTGAGCTCTACAGCATTTGGCGAGGCAACTGCTCCCCTGTAGACTCCACCGGCTTGGCTAAACCCTCAGGGTGCCTCCGTTTCGTTGTAGAATGACTCGAGGCCCAAACGGCGTGCTGTCTTGATGAGGTCGGACAGAGACATGTCGTGCCACGTCACCACGGCCTGGCATCGGGCTCTTGGGCCACGCCCCGCACAGGGGTCGCAGCTGCTCTGCTCCAAGTTCTCACTCCCCACCCGCATCCAATTCAGTAGCAAAGCAACCGTGCTCTGCGCAAGCAGATCTAGCATTGAAGCGCCTCACTCCTAGACCAAAAATCTCGGCAGGTCCTCAGATGACCTCCGAAGAGCAACAACCGAGAGAGAGAGAGAGAGGCACAGAGAGAGAAAGAGAAACGGAGCTACTCAGCGATTGCAGTGCTTTTCCCGATCTTCGACTGGCTGCCAGATGGTCTCATGCCACCAGCTTCTCTTTCTCGGCCGAGTCCAGGTCCACTTCATGCGTGATCCTGAACACTCCCGCGGCCATGGCTCCTCCAGCGAGCTCCAGGGCAGAATAGATCAGGGCCGTGTAGAAGAGCCCACCATTGAGAAGGTTAGCAGATGCAATGCCCACAGAGACCGCCGGATTCAACGACCCGCCAGAAATTCCACCAATGGCGAAACCTCCCACCGTAACGCAGGAGCCAATCAGGAGGCCGAACATGTGCGAAGACTTCGTGCGGGATGACACAGCAACACAAAGAACCACGAAACTCAGCAGGAATGTGAAGACGGTCTCTGCGACGATGACTTGGGACCATGTGCTGCCGGCGACCGGGCCCAGTGGGAAAGACTGTCCAACATAGATGACTGAGTACATGGCCGCCGCGGCAATTCCACCAGAGATCTGAGCCGCCACGTACATGCCGGCCTTCCCCGGGGTCAGCTGCGCGCTTCTTCCCGATGCAAAGATTGCCAGGGTCACAGCTGGATTGAAATGCGCTCCGGAGACGTCACCAACAGCATAGATCATGGATGTCAAGGCTGCTGCAATCGAGAGTGCACCGGCTGGCGACTTGGCAAGCACATTCAAGCCAACTGTCAAGACGAGCACGAATGTGCCCAGAAACTCCGAAAGGAGCTCTGCCTTGGCGGTTCGTTCACCAAAGAAGTCTTCAGGACGCACAAGCTTGAAAAGAGCAGCTGCGGTTGCTGCCCCGAGAAGCTCGAAGATGACGTAGGGCACGCACCAGCCAAATCCCCGAGCTGCACTGGACACATCGATTGCGAGGGCGACGGCTGGATTGAAGCAGCCGCCGGACACGGCTCCTGCACCATAGGCTCCGGCGACGATGACCAACCCGATGGCCATGCCATAGTACTCATTGCACTCTGTGGCATTCTTGCGGGCTGCCGCCACATTGAGGACAACGAAGGTGAGCACGAAGGTGTAAAGTGTCTCGCACAGGCCGGCGTTGAGCCACCCAAATCCCTCCGATGGAGCCAAGTTGAAGCTGCGTCCGTAGAGCAAGCTGTAGCAGACTGCAGCTGAAATCCCAGCGATCGTCTGGACGGCCGAGTATTGACCGACGGTTTTCCAGTCAAGGCCTGGCCCACCCATCGACTTTGAGATGCCCAAAGTCACAGACACAGCCGGGTTGAAGTTCGCCCCTGAGATGCCCCCCATTGCATAGATGGAAATCATGAGGACAAAGGCGATTGACACGCCACCCCACGTTCCATTGCCGCCCAAGACATTGCATCCGACCGTCAGCACGAGCAGGAACGTGCCGACAAACTCGGAAAGAAGCTTCGCGGTCAAGGAAGGGGCCGCCATGGCCAGGGGTGTGTGCTGCTTCACTGGGTCGGGAACAGCAGCGCTGCTGTTTTGCTTGAGCCCGAGCCGGATTTGGGGTTCAGGAGCCAGAAGACGGAAGCAGGCGTGTCTTCCAGCACGACCTTGTGGGTGATGTAAGGTACACACTCACTCATTGACTCTCACTCACTCACTCATGCATTCTTTCGTGAGGGTATCGGTAGGGGTGTCTCTCTCTCGAGTACGTTCGGAGGGCAGTATTCCGCCGGCTCACAGGAACCACGTCAAGATTCGGCAGCAGCGCCTGTAGAAACAAGGCCAACTCCGCCCCTGTCGCTCCCGGTGGAGGTGCGACACCAAGCTGTCGGCAGCGGCGATAAAGCCTGAGAGGTGTTCAATGCCGAGGTGTCTCTTGAGCCGATTTGCACTTCTGAGCTCAGCATTCCAGACGTGTGGTGTAGACTGTCGGAATATGTTCGAGGTTCGAGTTCCCGGTCAGTGGCCGCGCAGGCTGCAGGGTCTGGAGCACCCCTGGAGGCCCGGTTGTGGGCAGCCAGTGCCTTTCAACACCTCCGTATCTGTGCAGGCAATCAGTACCACAACGGATTTCGGGTTCTATAAGGGAAAGCTATGCGAGATTCGCGGTTGGGGGTTGTCTTGGCGGTGAAGCTTAGTGCATTAGAGGCTGGCTGCAAAGCCCGCTTTATCCTTCGGAAACGTCATGACCTTCCCGACACCTACCTGGAGGTCAGATGGGCTGTCCTGTTGAAAAGAACAAGCTTCGGGTTATGATGCATTGGGAGTTTGACACAGAGTGCCAGCATGTGCCAGGCAGCTCGAAATGCCACTTCATGGTTTGGTGTACTACGTATCGATTGTACACGCACACTCACGGAAGATCTGGCGATTGCAAGCGAGGAACTCTTCTCGCAAGCTTGGCTCCGTTGCGATTTTCAGATGCCTTGGCTTGGCACTAAGAGCACAACACCATGAATAAGAAGTGGAAATTCGAATGCTATACTGACCATACGATTACGCCAGCTTCGAGGTTCAGGACAGGAGAAGCACAAACCATTTCCTGCTCACTACGACGACCGCGACCCGACGGACTACTACTTACTTCTTCATCACCATCACCTGTACTGACAACCCTGACATGAAAAGAAACCGATTTTTCTGCCTCACATCCGCAAGCAAAATTACTGCTTACGCCAACAATAACAGCTTACAATTCGGCACCAATATCGGCGATAACTGGCTATCTGGCAGCTGGCCATGCCCGTAAGGACGCTTAAGCAGGGATCTTCATGTGAGCACAAGATCTCGCCAAATGGAGCATCTCTAAGGGGCGAACTCTTTCCAGTCGGTGGCAGTCTTCTCCTGAAGTTTGCCTCCGCAGGACACGATGCCAGGCATGAAACCCAAGTCATACTTGGGGCAACATGTCATAGCAGTGCTGACAACCGACTCCACGACCGCAGGAGCACATCTCGAAACCAAGCCCAAAGCATAGACAAGCATGTCGTGCCGCGAAGCGACAGCTACCGAGCCCTGTCTGGTTTAAGTTGGGAGGGAGTTCGTAAGGCTGGCTGCTGTGCTGGTTCGAAGTTTATTGTGCTTTAAGGCTGGGACCAGGGACAACCTCATGCCACAGGCCTCCGTAAGCAGGAACTGCTTCGTTTGCCATCTCGGGCGACCTGCTGTTCTGGGTCTTGCGCAGATCCCTACCGCAGCATTTCCCGCATGTGATCAATTAGGAAATCGTGTGCTCATGGCATTCATTGAATTCATTGGTGCAAGGCTGGTCAATCGCCCACAAGAACACAAGGCCTCTCCCGTCCATCGCCACCTTCGCAGGCTGCTTGGGCAATGCTGGTAGCTACCAGTAGCACTGCGGGACGATCTGCTTCAGGCACAGAGTTCGGAATGCGGCGCATTGGTTCAACCTTCGATCCATGAAGGATTTTTGTCCAAGCAGAGATGAACGCTCGAAACCCCTGGAACTCATGCCAGTCGCTTCAAGCGCTCGTGCCACACATCAGGAACTATATCACACCAGAAAACTATGGAGTGGAAATGAGAGCAAGCATCATGAAAGTCACCGCTGAATGCATAGTAAACCCAGAAAGGCAGATTACGGTGAACAAGATCAGAAGGCCTGACCACTCCCTCTGTAGATATACCTGGACCACAGATCCAGAACGTACTGAAGCTCGCCTCAAACCCTAAACCGGGAATCCGAAACCCGAGGAGCCCCGAGAAGCCACGAGGAGCCCATGGCCTTCCGGACTAAGATCTGACCACTCTGACAGCTGGCCTGGGAGCACCTGCGGATTCAGGATCTGGGGAGTTAGTTTTTTGTTGCCTCGGGATGTGGGGTTCAGTAGTGTTCTGCGCCGTGCATGTCTGCAACTATGGTGCGATGTGGAGGTTCCTTATCCCGACACCCTAAACAAACCCCTGTCACGGATGCATGGCGCCTGTTCAGAACCTTTGCGGCCCTTGCGCCGTTTGCGAGGCTCATTGGCCTTGCATTTCCCTTCGGCGCAGTCGGACCTGCCGGCACACGGGAGTATGTGCTGCAGCAAGTCAACAGGTGAGTCGGGAGGCAACCGGGAGGGAGAAAAACAGAGAGAGGGAGACAGAGAGAGAGAGAGAGAGAGCGGAAGAAAGACGCGGGGAGAAAGGCGAACAAGGGAGAGAGCCGTGAAGAGAGAGGTAGACGGAAAGCAATGCTAGAGAAAGAGATGCAGGCAGGGAAAGAATAGAGAAAGAGAAGGGGAGACAGCGAGAGGGAGAGAGGCCGAGAACAAATGCCAATAACAAGTAGAAACGTAAAGTATGAACATGAATACCAAAACCTGTGGATGGGATTTCGCGTGATTCTGCACGTAGCAGTCAATCCGTAACTATTTTGACAGCAGCCTACCTGAGGAAACAAGTGGACCACCTACTACACTGGGGACAATAACCTCCATGACCGATCAGCCACATCGCCCGCCTCGGCACAACGCCAGCAGCGTCACACAGCGCTTGGAGCGTTTCGGCCGCAAACCGCTTCTGGCCGCTGGTCTCCAAAGCCCTGCACGAAACAGGCCGAAACGTCCAAGGCCGCAATGGAGAACTTAATTGCAAAGGAGTGGCTGATTCACCGATTTGCTTTGGAGTGCCACCATCAATTCCGGAATGCTGCTGATGCCTCAAACGATCGCGAAGACATGGGCAGCCCAGATCAGCGTATGTGAGGCCCTCAGGCCCGTAGGCTTATTGCCAAACAGAATTACGCCACATGCAGAATCATGCCCAGCAATCTCTCATGTCCGGGCAAGAGGCCAATACGCCCCAACTTCGCTTCGACGGCCGCAATGTCCTGGAAGTGCCATATAGGCATCTACAGATCATATCTATGTATCTATCTATCTATCTATCTATCTATGTATCTATCTGTCTATATGTGTATACCCTTTGTGGGTGGAGTGTGCATGGGGTCCCTCTTCCCCCTGTGGTGTGGTTGTGGGGTTTTGGGGTTTAGGGTTTAGCTCAAGCT